ATGCAAATAGTATGGATCGATAGAATAAGAAACTTTCATTGTTCCGCTGAAATACAGCAAATCATGAAAAACTATTAAAAACAACGTAATCAACCTGTCATGTCAATATTTATCTCATAATAAAAACAATAGGCTACGAAAAGAAATAATATTACTTGGTTTCACTTGGCTGAACAGGTACAATATAATCGTACTAATATTTTTTGTACTTCGATTCTGTACAGCACGGTTTGCACAAATACATGTATTTTATGTAAAGTACCTAGCGAATATAAGTGGCTTACTCTCTCCCTATCCTTTTTTTGAAAATGAGTTATTATGATAGTGAGTATTTATGTATTATAGTACAGTGAAACCTCTCTATAGTGGATACCATTGGACTTTTCAAAAGTGTCCACTGTAGAAAGGTGTCCACTTTGTAGAGGTGAGGTTACCTCTGACAGAATACTTTATTAAACGAACTAAATGTATTTTCTGGACATCAGACGATTGTTAATGAATATGACAGAATATTACTATGTATCTTTACTTCTGTTTATATTAACTTTCGCTCTCGAAAAACATGGTTTGTTAAAAAAATAGTCAAATCTTTTTTGTAGACGCTGTTAAACTTGTCAATAATCCTCATCGTATAGAATTATATAACAATGTCCACTATCCAGAGGTTCATCTTCAGCAAAAAATATAATTCTGGACTTTTAAAACTGTCCACTATATGAAGGTGTCCACTATAGAGAGTGTCCACTATGCAGAGGTTCAAATACAGCAAAAAATGGGCCGTCGAATCTCGAAGTGTCCACTATATGGGAGTGTCCACTATGAGAGGTTTTACTGCACTAGTGAAAATATTTTATCAAGAAAATATCAACTAGTATATTGTATAACTATTTCTATCTGTTCCTTTGTGGTAACAGCTGATTAACATATTATTATATTTTTCTTTATATAAACATTTTCGTTCGCTTTCTTTTATACTTTTATTGTGAACGTATGTGATAGTTTTTATTGTATTTTATTTTGTTCACTGATGTTTTTGTTTCCCATTAATATAGATCTTTGAAAAATGGATACGAGTGCAACGTACACTCTTGAAGAATGTGTGAATTATATTGGCTTGGGAAAATTTCAATGGCGTTTGTTTTCAATTATTAGCTTTAGTACGATGGCGGATGCAGCAGAAGTGTTGCTTTTAATAATTTTAGGACCAGCGTTACAGTGTTATTGGCCTCACATAACAGATATTCGTATAGCTGCATTAACTACAGTAAAACAAACTTTTAATTTTAAAACCTATTAACGATTTAGTATATTTTTATTTTTAGTGTGTTTTTAGTGGAACGTTGTGTGGAGGATTTATACTTGGTCTTATTGCTGATAAGTATGGACGACGTAGAGTAATTGTGACATGTGCTATAATAGTTTCTTTATCTGGAATGCTTACAGCATTCGCGCCAAGCTATAACTATGTACTGTTAACCGTATTCATTGTCGGAGTTGGTATTGGAGGTCTTAATCAAGGGTGAGTAAAAGGATAGAAAATAGATTTATTTGATAATGTCATTCAGTTTCGAAATACTATATTTTGTGTGGATCAATAATAGTGAAGAGGTGATAAAATGATTAAGATGGATCTCTATGTGATATGGATAAAGTAAAATAAGACATTTCGTTTTGTTCTAAAAATAAGCAACATATACAGTATGCTTATAACTCCTACTAAATATTTGAATTTTGAAAGAATAGATTTGTGACAATAGAGAAAAAGATAGACAGATCTGTACGATTGAAAAATGAAGAAATCGAACTATTAGTAGCTATCGTAGTGTTTCAGAAATGCAAAAACTATTATGATTTTTCTACTATGACTGTCTCCCATATCTCATTACTTTAGACTAAGTTAAATAATAGAGTATTCTAAATAGGAATGTGACAGTTCAAGCTCGTGAACTATAAAAAACTACAGTGACGAATTAATGATCAGCTCTAACTCATATAAGCTGCTTAACAATTCCAGCTCTAACTCACTTGAGTTGGTGACCAGCTCTTTTCAGAGGAACTTAAACTGGTACATTAGTTCCCACTCTCGGAACTGATATGAACCTGTCACATATGAAAATTAAATTGTTTCACACTACACAGTTCTCACCAACAATAAATCAATGAACTTCTTGTTAAACGAAATTCATATAATAAAATTAAGTTTAATTATTTATTTGAATATATATATTCTTTGTGAGTCATGTTTCTCTCTGTGATGATTTTTAGTAATAATTTAATGTTAGAATATTTACCATCATCATCGCGTGCAATGCTAGTTGTTGCTATTCAATTATTTTGGGCATTCGGCGATATTTATGAATATGTTTTGGGTATGATTATTATGCCATCATATGGATGGCGTGTATTAACACTTCTTACAGCATTACCTTTATTCGTTATTCTTATTGGTATGTATGTAAGTATTCAGGATGTAAGTTGACGATATAATATCTGGTTCTTGATTTTAGTATATCACTGAATCACCGCGATTTTATGTTGCAAGTGGTC